AACTGTAATGATTGTAATAAATCGATTTTCTTGCTAGTTCTTGCTTCAGCATGAACGTTTTATTTTGGAAAAGGGCGATGTACTATGATACTTTTTGTTTTGTCAAGCACTCTAGTTCGATGAAAATTAAAAAAATCTACTAACCCAAAAGTAGTAGATATAATTCATTTGTCTCACTTTAAACGTGTCTTATGGAAGAATTTTCATCAAATTTGACATCCACGTGTTAAAGGCTGATTTCTCACTGATTTTTTTATTAATTCGTTGAGACAATATAAATATCTTTATTTATTTATTTAGTCACTAATAAAATAAAGAAAATGGTTGGTCTTTTTTTTTCTTTTTTTTTTTCTTTCATTTTCTTAGAATTTGGGTGTGACTCGAATTCTTTGTTTAAAGTATTGAAAAATTCTAATTGAAGTACACATCAAGAAGAATTCAAGTTTGGAATGCTATTGGAGTCCTGTGTCAAGTTGAAGTTCTATTTTGAAAACTCATTGGGAGTTGAAAATTGGTATTGGATTTGAAAAAGAGTTCGGGATGAAGAAAATAACTTGGAAAAAAAAAAATTCGAGCAGATTGCCCGATGCCACCGTTCTTTTCCCCTTTTCCGCATTTTCTTCTCCTATTTCGTTTTGAACTCGATTTTTTGACATACTACTTCATCAACAACTCTACAAAGAGAGTTTAGACGCCTCCTACATGTTCTCTATAATATTAGGCTCTTTTATACAATTTTGTAATATGATAAAATAGATTATTAGAATTATAAGATACATTGTAATTTTCTCTCTTTCCATTATTCTCGAGTCAATAAAATCTCTTAATTCTTCTGTCATATTTCTTGTCTTTATTATTCTTTTGTTTGATCTAATATTTCATTATTATATCATATAACTTCAACATCTCAATCCGATGATTTGTTTCACAACAAGTGGTATCAAAACTATTATGTTAACTTATTTGTTTTACAACACACTTGTTAATGACTAAACAATTATATATACAATTAAACGTGTGGCATTAATGATAAATAGAATTAAACAATTAATTCTCCCTTTATTTGAAGGTATCCCTTGTAACATCGGTGGTGCTAGATAATATTATTCAAGGAAGATCAGTTCATCGAAGCTCATGTAAAATTCAACGAACGCATCATTGTATTCAATAAAAGGTTTTTATTTAGCTAAACCAATGCCACCATAACAGAGACATTGATAATTGGCAAAACATCACAGAATGCAACATTTGTTATACATATTATAACCCAAATATATGTGAGCTTTATTTTCTAAACCAAATGCTCAAGCCTTGAGAAGATAAGCATCCAAGTCTCCGAAGTTTTTGACAGCAAAATCTTTCATAAGATCTGGGTTAGGGACCTCTTCGCTTGCCTTGTCAAATTCACATGACCATTTCACCAAGCTTCCATCCCCTTTGGGGGTTACGACAAGGTGGGCTTTGAAGTTCTTGTAATATTTCAGCAGATCTCCGTCGATCACACTGTAACTCACTGACTTCTTCTCTTCGTCCACAACTTCAATCTTCTCCTTCGAGGTCGAAATCGTCGACACTCCTGTACATTACACCACAATGAACACGCCCGTTTTCAGTTAAATAAAAATCAGATTTTTAGTAAATTTGGAGGGTTAAAAAAATTGATAAAATTTATATTTTCATGAACTGTACGATTGGAAGTTCAAGAAAATAAGGGCCAAGTACGTGGACTAAACTTGTACCTGCATGTTTGACAAGTGGTGGACTAGACAGTAATGAAAAATAAGCTAAAATATTGTTTACTGTAAAATTGAGTGTTGAATAATTTGTTAAAAAAAGGATTTATTTTTACCGGGTGCGAACTTAACCAAACGAACCGAGCCAACAGATTTTCCATCGCCTTCAAGAATCTGAATGCTCTCATACTGATCAGGGAAGGCTTTGGGGAAGAGTGTGGATGAGTCCCTTATGCTATTCCAGAACTTCACAGCATCGGATTTCACCTCAACATCAACTTCAAGCTTCTGAGCAGACGCCATTGTAGAATGAATTAAGTTGCAGAAAATGAGAAATTATAAGCAAAATAAGAGAGATGCAGATGAATGAATACCCTGATAGAAGCCTGCATATATAGGCAAAGTTGTTCGGTGGGTTTGATTGGCTTATTGACAGATTGCAAATTCATTTTGACATGTATCAATTATGAGTCATGCAATAGAGGATTAGCTAGGGATGTGAGCTCATTAATTGTATCGTCGGTGACGCAATTTAAGGCCCGTCTCATAGGACTTTTATTTCTATTTTTTTATTGAAGAAAAAAATTATAAGAAAGCCAGTTTATTTAAGAATAATGCTATGCAATTATGCTATAAAGTTTCACTGGAGTTATAACCCCAAATTAGACTGGGATTGCAACTTCACTGGAATTGAGGTCATGCTTGATTGCACTCAATTCCATGAAAGATGGAAATTAAATTTCATTTTCCACATTTCTGTATGTTTGATTGTCCAAATTTTTCATGAAATTCGTTTTCCATCTTT